GTTGGTGAGTTGCTTATTAGCTGTAAGGTTAGAGATTCCAAAGAGTTAACTTGAAGAGGAACAGTGTTAATAGGGATAAGCAAGGTGGTGTCCTGGGACTGACATGTCAGCTGATTCCTACTTCTTTTGTGTTTTCCTGCCAGGTGGCGTCATCACCTACATTGGCTCCAGTGGCTCTTCCCCGAGCCGCACCAGCCCAGAGTCCCTCTACAGTGACAACTCCAATGGCAGCTTCCAGTCCCTAACGCAAGGTTGCCCTGCCTACTTCCCACCATCACCCACTGGCTCCCTCACCCAGGACCCAGCTCGCTCCTTTGGGAGCATTCCACCCAGTCTCAGTGATGATGGCTCCCCTTCTTCATCTTCCTCCTCCTCCTCTTCCTCCTCTTCCTTCTATAATGGGAGTCCGCCAGGGAGTCTACAAGTGGCCATGGAGGACGGCAGCCGAGTGTCCCCCAGCAAGAGCACCAGCAATATCACCAGTGAGTGGAACGTCCAGCTGACTGAGGGAAGGGAGGCCGGCCAGGGGGCTCAGTGGGGAGTTGGTTTTCATGTAAGTTATTCTTAGGACCTGTCTAGTCTCAGTCTTCTCCTTGGGTTCTACTAGCTTGTCCAATCCAGGCTGGTACCTGAGTGCCCCTAGACATGAGCTTTTCCTTTCTAGAATCTTCAGCCAAGAAAGCCTCAGACCATTTGGGCCGCTGCTTATCTGCTGCTTCTGTCTTTCCACAGAGTTGAATGGCATGGTGCTACTGTGCAAAGTGTGTGGGGACGTGGCTTCTGGCTTCCACTATGGTGTGCATGCCTGTGAAGGCTGCAAGGTGAGGTGGGCTTGAGGGTGAGGGCGGGGGAAAGGGAACCTCTTCTCCTAGTTATACCCAGACCCAGCCTACATGAAGATGCTTACTAGTTGCCCCGGCCCTGCAGGGCTTTTTCCGTAGGAGCATCCAGCAGAACATCCAGTATAAAAGATGTCTGAAAAATGAGAACTGTTCCATTGTCCGCATCAACCGCAACCGCTGCCAGCAATGTCGCTTCAAGAAGTGTCTCTCCGTGGGCATGTCTCGAGATGGTGAGGCAGCAGCTCCACATCCTCCCCCTTCCTTCCACCCAAAGTTTCTGACTTAATTCTTCCCTTTATAAAAGTAGTTTCAAGCCAGGCACCAGTGGCTCACGCCTGTAATCCTAGCTACTCAGGAGGCTGAGATCTGAGAATTGCTGTTCAAAGCCAGCCTGGGCACGAAAGCCCTTAACACTCTTATCTCCAATTAACCACCAGAAAACTGGAAGTGGCACTGTGGCTCAAGCGGTAGAAAGCTTGCCTTGAGCTGAAGAGCTGAGGGACAGTGCCCAGGCCCAGAGTTCAAGCCCCATGACCACCACCAACAACAAAAAGTAGTTCCAAATTTGGGGAGTGGGGAGCAGTAGCTCAAACCTGTAAACCTAGCTACTCAGGAAACTAAACTAAATAAGAGGATCACCCAATCACCAGTCCAAGCCAGTCTGGGCAGGAAAGTCTGAGAGACGCTTATCTCCAATGAAATTAACCAGCAAAAAGCCGGAAGTGAAGCTGTGGCTCAAGTGGTAGAGTGCCAACTTGACTGAAAAAGCTAAGGGACGGTGCCCAGGCCTAGTTCAAGCCCTAGTACCAACACACACACACACACATTCTTCTAAGACACTTTACACCAAGAATCTCATTTGCATAGAGGAAGCTAGTGTTATCTTCTTGAGTAAACACATACTCCTTTCCCATTAATTCCTCTGGTCACCACCTACCAGAATACCTACTGGGAAAATACCCTTGAAGGTGTGTCCTTGTTTTCACGTGGAACCCCAGACCTTCAGGGTCTTGCCCTTTTAGGAGGAAGAGATGCATCTGTGTGTGAGAACTTCCTGACCCAGCGCTCTTATCTTGTTACAGCTGTACGTTTTGGGCGTATCCCCAAACGAGAGAAGCAGCGGATGCTCGCTGAGATGCAGAGTGCCATGAACCTGGCCAACAACCAGCTGAGCAGCCAGTGCCCCTTGGAGACCTCGTCTACCCAGCACCCCACCTCAGGCCCTATGGGCCCCTCACCACCTCCTGCTCCAGCCCCCTCACCCTTGGTGGGCTTTTCTCAGTTCCCACAGCAGCTCACACCACCCAGATCCCCCAGCCCTGAGCCCACCATGGAGGATGTGATATCCCAGGTGGCCAGGGCCCATCGAGAGATCTTCACTTATGCCCATGACAAACTGGGCACTTCACCTAGCAACTTCAATGCCAACCATACATCTGGAAGCCCTGCAGCCACCACCCCACACCGCTGGGAGAGTCCTGGCTGCCCTCCTGCCCCCAATGACAATAACACCTTGGCTGCCCAGCGTCATAATGAGGCTTTGAACGGTCTACACCAGGGCCCCTCCTCCTACCCTCCTGCCTGGCCCCCTGGCCCTACCCACCATGGCTGCCACCAGCCCAACAGCAATGGGCACCGGCTATGCCCCACCCACATGTACTCAGCTCCAGAAGGCGAGGCACCTGCCAATGGTCCAAGACAAAGCAACTCCAAGAACGTTCTGCTGGTGAGGGCACAGAGCAGCTGTGGAGGGCAGGGGTCATAGAGGGACTTAGGCGAAGGCAGCTGGGTATTCCCTGGAGGCTGAAGGTGGCAATACCTTCTAAGAGAGGATTTCCTGACCTGCAGTCTAGGCTCTGCCTGGGAATCCCTGATTGCCATCCAGCACCTGATTGCTGTTTAACATGAAAGGACCTTCCCCAAAGGCCACAAAGTCTAGCCCAGGGAAAAACCTGGAACCCTGTCTTGCAGGGCAGCCCATTCAAGCCAATCTGGCTGATTCTTCCCTCTCCGTGTCCCTTCCTTCCCCAGGCTTGTCCCATGAATATGTATCCCCACGGACGCAGCGGCCGGACTGTGCAGGAAATCTGGGAGGACTTTTCTATGAGCTTCACACCTGCTGTGCGGGAGGTGGTAGAATTTGCAAAGCACATCCCTGGCTTCCGTGACCTTTCTCAGCATGACCAGGTCACCTTGCTTAAGGCTGGCACTTTTGAGGTGAGTGACCCTTTTTCATTCCCTGCTTTTGCCCTTGAGAAGAAGCGCATGGTATCTGGGGTGGGCAGGGGGTTCTTTGGGCTTACGAAACTCCAGTATCTGAGGGAGGGGGCCAGAACCCCTCCCATTCCCACCTCCGGGTGGCTAAGACTCTGTCATCTTAGTTGGCATCTAATCACTACCCATTACATGAAAATAATATCATGGCGCATTGCCATTTTCCTTCCAGATGTGAACAAGTAAACTTTGGGGAAGAATCCACTCCAGATTCCCACCCTCCCCCACACTACCCACTCAGAAACAACTTCCCTACTGAGAAATCAACAGCAGTGCCCTTGAATCCTTTGGCAACCAACCTTGAGGCGTAATTTGGCAAAGTGCTCTTCCCACCTCACCCAGTCTGACTATCGCCCCGATTCAGGTGCTAATGGTGCGCTTTGCATCGTTGTTCAACGTGAAGGACCAGACAGTGATGTTCTTGAGCCGCACCACCTACAGCCTGCAAGAGCTGGGCGCCATGGGCATGGGAGACCTGCTCAATGCCATGTTCGACTTCAGCGAGAAGCTCAACTCCCTGGCGCTGACCGAGGAGGAGCTAGGCCTCTTCACGGCGGTGGTGCTTGTATCTGCAGGTAGGTTCAAGCTCTCGCCTGACCCGGGAGGAGGCAGACGCGGTTGGATTCAACATACCTTTTATGGAGTACCTACTCTACGCCAGGCCCTGCACCAGGCACTGGGGATACAGACATGATTCAGACACAGTCTAGCTTGGGAAAACAGACTCATGCCTGACTAATAATAAAACAGTGAGATAAGTGTCACATTAGAAGCATGAACCAAGGAAGCACAGACAAAACTATTTCTGCCTGGGGGAGCTGGGGGAAGGAGGTGACACTTGAGTGGGGCCTCAAAGGGACAAGTAAGATGTTGCCAGGCGTAGAATTGGGGTGGGGGGAAGGGGAGGAGGGCATCCCAGGCAGCGGGAACTACAGAGCAAATAGCAAGGGAGCCTGGTCACATGTGGCCTGTTGAGGGGAGGAGCATGGTCTTGGGGGATGGGAGGTGGCCAGCCTGTGGCCCTGGCTCCCAGCATTGGGGCAGAGGCCTGGGAGAAGGAGTAGCACCCTCCTTCTCCTTCCCCGTGGGCCCTCCGAGGGGCTTCAGGGAGAGGCTGCCTTGCCTGCCACGTCCTCGCACACCTCCGGGTCCTCGTCAGAGGAGCTCAAGGAGCCTGCCTCACTGCTGTCGTCTTCCTCCCCACAGACCGCTCGGGCATGGAGAATTCCGCTTCGGTGGAGCAGCTCCAGGAGACGCTGCTGCGGGCTCTTCGGGCTCTGGTGCTGAAGAACCGGCCCTCGGAGACTTCCCGCTTCACCAAGCTGCTGCTCAAGCTGCCGGACCTGCGGACCCTGAACAACATGCATTCCGAGAAGCTGCTGTCCTTCCGGGTGGACGCCCAGTGACCCGCCCGGCCGGCCTTCTGCCGCTGCCCCCTTGTACAGAATCGAACTCTGCACTTCTCTCTCCTTTACGAGACGAAAAGGAAAAGCAAACCAGAATCTTATTTATATTGTTATAAAATATTCCAAGATGAGCCTCTGGCCCCCTGAGCCTTCTTGTAAATAGCCTGCTTCCCCTCCCTCCCCATCACTGTGCTTTTCCCATCCTCCCCTATTTAAACCACTCTCACTTTCCCACCTGCCTCTGCCCCCTCCCCCTCCCCCACTTGTTCTGTTCCTGTCTCAAATCCAATAGTTTACAGCTAAGCTGGCTTCTGTGATGTGTGCTCGTTTGGAGGGTGGGGGTGGGAGGGGACTGTTGCCAAGGCTGGGAGGGGGGCATCTCTCCATCTGGTCAGCTTGTGGGGAGGGTACTCTGCCAACAGATGGGAGGAATATAGGGAAACAGCACACAAGTCTAAGGGGGGAGTGCCCAAGGGGGTTATTTTCATCATATATTTATTACATAAATATATAGTAAAATAGACGAGCAACAATTACCATAAAAATATCTTTCTTTAAAATCCTGACCCAAAACACAACGGGGTGAAAAATCGCACATAACAGACATACTGATTGTCAACGTGGGGCAGGAGTAGGAGCCCCTGCAAGTCACCCCTACCGGTCCCACCCCTCCCTGGGGAAGGGACCTACCTCCTTCCCTGTTTCTGGCCACAACCCTCCCTCCCCCCACCCCAGCACCAGCTTCTCATACATTCAGTAGCGCCTCTGGGCAGTGTCTCCCTCCCCCACCCAGGAGTTCCCAGGGCAGCAAGTACTGTCCCCCTTATGGACGGTGTCTGTGTCACGCGCCCTGCCCTCTCCCAGCCCTGCAGACCCACCCCCCCCAGGAAGGGGCAGGGGCTCCTCCTCCCCCACCCTCCCCAAGTCTGAGCAGGGAGGAGGCTGGATGAGGTATGTGTGTTATAAGTGATGGGAGGGGAAATACTGAGATGGAGAGGTGAGGCGGGTGGGGGTAGGGTAGTGGTCATGGCTCTGGCACCCCCTTGTCCTGGCCTGGCTCCCTCAACCTATTCCCAGCAATCCTTCCTCCCACCAATACTGCACCTGCTGCCTCACCCTGCCTGCCCTAGTGCCCCGGGCCAACACTGGGGGAGGCATGCTAAGCACCCACACCAAGGCCGTCCCCCCATTAGCACCAATGGCCCCCAGGAGAGGGCCCTGTCCCTCACTTCCTCAGCAGGGACTGACTGGGACAGCTGCCTCTAGAGCAGGTACGTGGCACTCCTGAGTCTCCCTGGCTCCTCCCCTACCACATGTACTCACTCAAACATTCACACAGAGAAACATATGCGCGCACACACACTCACACACACACACACACACCATGTCACCAAGAGGAGGGGGAGAAGCCAAAAGGGAGGGGGATCACAGCTCATATGACTGGGGAGGGAAGGGGGGATTCCAAGTGCTTGTAAGAGAAGAGACCAAGTATATGGCTAAGAATGGGGCTGGATGGGCAGAACCGGGTCTGTGGGAAGGGGAGAGACAGCAGGCAGGTCAGGAACTCCACTGGGCTCCCAGGCATAGAAGGAAGGTGTGACAGCATTTACCCATGGGACTGGAGGAATACAGGAACCAGTACCCCAGGAGAGAGAGAGAGAGAGAAAGAGAGACAGAGAGAGATGGCAGGAGGGAAGAGAAGGAGCAAAGGCAGGATAGAAACAAAAATAGTAGATAGTGCAGAAGGCCCAGGACCCCCAGAGGCACAGGGCAGGCATATGCACAGGTGACAGTGGATGCTCCTTCAGGCCCTCTACCCAGTGGGAACACCTGAGCAGTGAGAGGACACTGCCCTGAGTGGCAGCACAGCATTGCCTCTGTGGTGTGTGTGTGTGTGTGTGTGTGTGTGTGTGTGTGTGTGTGTGTGTGTGTATGTGTGTGTAGGGGGCTGTGGCAGGCTGAGGGTCAGAGTGGGGTGGCAGGCTTCCCCACTGCTTAAGACATTTTTGCCCCAATAGTGCAAAGCGCAGGAAGCCCTGGCACCCCTCGCTCACCCCCTGCCCCATTCCCCATGGCTTCCGGGGGGGCATCAATGTCCACCCATCCATCCCTGCCGACATGCAGCCCTGAGCCCAGGGCCCTCTGGTCTGTTCTGTCCCTCCTCCTTCCCTCCCTCTCACCCATGGAAGGGCCAAATCTCTCTCCTTCTCTCCCCTGAGAAGTAGGCTGTAGCCAACATGGGGAGGAAGAGGAGGAGGAGGAGGATGGTAGTTCTCCCAAAGTACAGACCAACAGAGCACTCCTTCCCAGAGGGCGGGAGGTGGCTCAAGCCAAAGTCCCTGAATTAGAGAGAAGGGAAAGGAGTCCCAGGGGCAAAAGGGCAGCCAGCCTGAAGAGCTTCAAAGAAAACAGGAGGAGCACTAACTGCCTCCTCCTCTGGGGCTTCAACTAAGTGCCACTCATGGAAACATCCCCATTCTGTACCCATCCACCTGAGTCTAGGTTGGATGCATTGAGTGGGGGTAGGGAACAAGGAGGGCAGAAGTCAGAGGGAGCTGAGAAGACAGACAGGAAACAGGGGAACAGTTCTACAGGAGTAGAGGCTCTGGGAGATGCTCACACACAACTCCCTCCCCCACCACAGCAGCATCTGGATTGTAGCTAATACTGCAGGATACGAGGAGGGAAGGAGCGTGGGCCACAGTTTTTCCTGTGTGGGTGCCAAGGTGCAAGAGGAGGGGGACCAGGAAGGCCCCTGGGGCTGGGCACTTGAAAGGGGAGCTGTGTGGGCAGCAGGGCAGGCTGGTGAGGGGCCAGCTGGCATCCAGCGTGAGAGGTAGATGGAACTCAGCGGGCACGAGTGGCAAAGGACAGAGGAAGTTCTAGGGTTAGGGGTGCCAAAGGGGCACAAGGGCGGGGGGCAAGGCAAGGGGGTGCCAGGACCCTGTTGTGTCAACTCACAGCTCTGATCGGCAGCCCTACCCTTGGGGGGTCTGCTGGGGGGGCATTTTTTTTAAAACTCTGATCTGGGGGGAGGAAGGGCAGCTCTCAAAGTGCATGGGGGTGGGAAGTGGGGTCCTTCCCCTCGGGCCAGCCTCAGCTAATAACTTAATATCATGTCTCTCTCTCTCTATTGCTCTCTCTCTATTTTTTTTCTTTTTCTTTTTCTTTTTCCTTATCCTCTGTCTAGTTTTTCTTCATTTTATCTTCTCCCCTTGCTTGGTTTCCAAAGTGCAGTTAGGATGACTTATTGTTTTTAGCCTCCAGGGGAGGAGCCAAGCCAAGGTGTCCTTTGCCATCCAGGCATCTGGGGAAATAGAGGCCCTTTGCCTGGAGGGGAAATCTAGGCCAAGGAACTGGGTTGGGGGCTCTCTTGTATATGTGTAGGGGGCTGAGTGGGGACATCTGCCCCCAACCCTCATTTCTCCTTTCCCTACAGTCAAGATGGCCTATCCCTCTGTTCTCCCTTCCCCTACCTTCTTAGAGGATGGGGTTCTGGGAACTGCAAGACATGGGACCCAGCCTCCCATACTGTCCTCATAGCAAGTTCATTTGTTTTGCCCTGTCTCAGGGCTGTGGAGGTTCTGAGGGGGATCTGGGCAGTGCAGGGGTTATGTGGGAGCTGCATCTATCCAAGGATGGGAGGAAGGAGAGAAGAGGTGGGAGGTCTCTCTCAGTCCCCAGCTCTACCCCTTCTCTCCAGACTCCTCCCCACCAGCTCCGCACACCCTCTGGCCGCCTGAGGCTTTAGACTTCCTGATCCTCAAAGACCTCGAGGAAGAGTGGGGGGAAGAGTTCGGTGGGGCACTCGACTTTCATGTGGAGGAAGCGGCTGGCGTGGCAGGCCCCGATCATGCGGAGGTCAGTCACCTTCATCAGCAGCTTGGGCCAGAAGTGCGGAATGTTGTGTTTGCGGTGGTTCACGTAGTGCTCGAACGCCAGCAGGTACGCCTCCTGACTCTTCTCGATCTTGTCCACACACAGCAGGCCCGAGCGGTCTGTAGGGAGGGAAGGCAGGATGAGTGAGTGGCAGAGGCCTGGGAGAGACAATGGGTAAAATGCAGGGGAGGATACAAGAAAGGGACAAGGTGGTAGTCTGAGGCTAGGAGAGAATAAGGGAAGAAAACGACACCAAGGGACCTGTATAGAGACTCCCTTACTGAGGATCAGATGGGGCACTGAAGAAACAGAGGGACTGGAGTAACACATAAAGAGGACAGAGGAACTGGAAGGTGGAGCCAAGAGGACTAGGGGAAAAACAAGTGCTGATGGTGGTCAGAGAGGTGGGGTAGAAATGGGGGTAGAGAGGGGATTGAAGGACAAAAGATAGGACTGAGAGACATAAGGGAAAGACAACAGAAAGTGGATAGGAACAAAGTGGGGCGTGTAAGTGACAGGATGAAGGACAAAGAGAAAGAATGGTCAGAGGCAGGATAAAGAACAAAGCAAGGACTGGGAGCTGGTGGCTCTATAATCCTAGCTACTTAGGAGCCTGAGATCTGAGGATCAAGGTTCAAAAAGCCAGCTTGGAGAGAAAGGTTTATGCAACTCTTATCTCCAGTTAACTATACACACACACACACAAAGTGGAGTTGTGGCTCAAGTCATAGAGCACCAGCCTTGAATGGAAAAAGCTAAGTGGCTCAAGTGGGACAGACACTTGCTTTAAAGGAAAAATCTATAGGATTGTGTCCAGGCCCTGAGTTCAAGCACCAGGACCAACCATCACACACACACACACACACACACACACACACACACACACTCAAGCACCAGGACCAACCATCACACACACACACGCACACACACACACACACCCCAAAACCCCCCCAAAAACAAAAACAAAGAGGCTGGGAGGTCAGTGATGGACCTGAGGACCAGAGGTGGGGGTATGGTGGGCTGGGATGGGGAATGAATGACAACAGAGGATAGGACAGCTTGGAGGACACAGAGATAGCTGGGGGAGTATAGAGGATAAAGGAAGAGGGAGATCAACAAGCCTGGGGTCCAGCTAAGCTCCGGCCCCCAAGGGCTTCTAGGCCCTCCCAGAACTAGCAGGTACCTGTTGACATTAGCAGCACAGCCTGCAGCAGAGCCACTTCCGTGTCATCCAGGTTAAAGGCAGAGAGTGACTTGCCCAGTTCAAAGATGGCATCAGAGACTACGCCCAGGCCACCATTCTTGAGCTGCTCCCGCTTGACGGCCATCTCCCCACTCAGTGTCAGGGTATCGCTCTCGGGATCATAGCGGACGGCTGCCCGCAGGGACATGATCTCCATGCAGCACCCCTTCAGGAGGATGATCTGGTCTTCGCAAGGCAGCTGCAGGGCGACAGGGCCACAAGACCACTCAGCATCCCTTCTCCTAGTAGGGAGTCTCCTCTACAGTTACCTTAGGCTGGACCATGCCTGGGCTTTCACACTTAGGCCTAAGGAGGAGATCCCACTGTGCTATAGCCAACCCAATGCACACAAGATAATCGAGGCATAGGCTGGGGATGTGACTTAGTGGTACAGTGCTTGCCTAGCATGCATGAAGCCCTGGGTTTGATTCCTCAGTGCCACATAGACAGAAAAAGCTGGAAGTAGTGCTGCGGCTCAGGTGGTAGAGCTCTAGCCTTGAGCACAGGGAGGCTCAGGGACAGAGCCCAGGCCCTGAGTTCAAACCCCAGGACTGGCAAAAATAAATAAATAAAAGATAATTGAGGTACAGGGGGATTTTAGGGAACTTGGTCAAGGCCTCAGAGCTAATAAGACAAGCTGTCTCACACTGTACTGTATTGTGCAAAATGAGGAAAATATTCAGGTTGCTTGGAGGTGAGATGGGTGTGTAGACTTGAGGGGAGAAGGGCTGGGAAGGTGGGCTCATGAAGCCAGCTGGCTCATATATTAGGCATCCCTACTATGTAAATGTGTATGTGTGTTCACCTATGAGTGTGTATTGGGTATGTTGATCTACAGAAATCACTCAGAGAACGTAAGGGGAGAACCTTAAGACTGGGTAACCTGGGGAATTGCCCTCCAGATTCCCTCCCACATGCTGTCATGTCTTTCTTCCCATGAGCCACTCACCTCGGAGAACATGGGCAGTTTTTTGGCAAAGTCCACCACTCGGGTGATAGCCGGGGTGATGATCTTGGTAAACTCGCTGAAGGCCTCTAGGTCTACCTTGTCTCCGTCCGGCATGGAGACAATGGGTGACTGGCCAATGTCATCAGGCTAGAGGGAGAGATGGGGGTCAGCTGGGGCGCAGACCCCTTTCAACCTCTCACTGAGGCTCCCTGCCCACCAGGGGGAGCTCCAAGGCAGCTTGGGGAAGAAAGGTTGGACAGGACGGGGCAGGACAGCTGTATCTCAGCCCTGAGGTTTTTCCTTCAACCTTGGGGCAGAGGATAGACCAGAGCAAATGCCCTAAGTCTGCTAATAATAATGGTAAGAGTGGTCGTAGCAGTAGTAGAATAATAATTATATGACTGAAAACATGTAGCCAAGTATTAGGCTGTATGTTCTATAGATTTTATCCCATTTTAACCCCTTCCTGAATTCTATAAAGAAGGTAAAATTGTCACCATTTGACAGTCCAGGAAACTGAGGACAAGTGAAACTAAGGAATAAGGTCAAAGTCACATGACTTGTTCTAGCCTGGTATTATTGCCCAGGCAATAATAATAATCCTAGATACTCAGGGGGCTGAGATCTGAGATTGAGGTTCAAAGTCAGCCTAGGAAGGAAAGTATGTAAAACTCATCTCCAATTAACCACCAAAAAAAAACAAACAAAAACAAAAACAAAAAAATGGAAGTAGAGCTATGGCTCAACTGGTAGAGTGCTAGCCTTGAACACAAAAGCTCAGGGATGCTGGGCGCCGCTGTCTCACACTTGTAATCCTAGCTACTCAGGAGGCTGAGATCTGAGGATCACGGTTCAAAGCCAGCCCAGGCAGGAAAGTCCCTGAGACTCTTATCTCCAATAAACCACTAGAAAACCGGAAGTGGCACTGTGGCTCAAGCGGTAGAGCGCTTGCCTTGAACTGAGGAGCGCAGGGACATGGCCCAAGCCTAGAGATAAAGCCCCACGACTGACAAAAAAAAAAAAAGCTCAGGGATAGCACCCAGGCCCTGAGTTCAAGCCCATGACTGACAAAAAAAAGCCAACCCAGAGTTCAAGGTCCTGAGTTTAAGCCCTAGTACAGGCACAAAAATAAAGAACCAAAGAGAATGCCAAGCACAGTAGTATGCATTCAACAAATGTTTGCTCTTCATGATGCTGCCATCTTGATTCTTGACATTTTTCCTTTAAAGCAAAGATCAATCCTAATATATAGAAATGAACATTTTTATCCAGGTGCCAGTGGCTCACACCTGAAATCCTAGCTATTCAGGAGGCTGAGATCTGAGGATCGCAGTTCAAAGCCAGCCCAGGCAGGAAAGTCTGTGAGACTCTTATCTCCAATTAACCACCAGAAAACCGGAAGTGGCACTGTGGCTCAGGTGGTAGAGCGCTCACCTTGAGCTAAAGAGCTGAGGGACAGCGCCCAGGCTCAGAGTTCAAGACCCACAACTGACAAAACAAAACAAAACAAAAAAAGACCCATGGTCGACAAAAAAATAAAGAAAGAACCAAGAGCCACAGTTGTCCATCTCTTCCCAAAAGGATCATCCACTTGGCAGTCAGTTTACCAATCCTGATACAATGCCTGAGACCCAGCAGGCACCCAAAAAATACTGTTACATGACTGTGTCCTCATGGTCCCTTCCTTGTCACTATGGGCAAGAAAAGAAGGAGAGATCCTCACAGTCTGATGAGGAAGGCAAGGCCCTGTACTTATAGAGGATCCTCTTGGCTGAAAGAGGTGGAACCCAGACAGCAATGACATACACAGGTGTACAAAATCTGTACTGCCAAGGTGTGGAGAGTATAGGTTCTGGGTTGGATTAAACCAAGGAAGCTTCCTACAGAAGGCAAGCTTCCTTATTCCCTTGTTTCCTTACCAGAAATTTCCGCCTCTGCTTCCAATGGCTGCCCTGGGCATTGGTGCTGCGATGGGCCTCTGTGGCAACATGGATCAGATCCCACTCCTCAGGAGTGGGCTCTGGTCGCTGCTGCAATGACCGGATCATCTCCTCTTTCCGCCTCCGTTCCCGGTTCTGCTCAATCAGTTTGCGCTTGGCCACTCGCTTGGAGTCATCTAAAACCACTGTTGGTAGAGAGAGATATGGGAGTCTTGGCTTGGTACCCTCCCTCTCCTCTCCACAGTCCTGTCAGAAACTACTACTAAGAGTAGTTTCTGTCTGTGCAGCCTAGTACACAGATTGGGGACACAGGGCCAAAGAGATGAAGCAACTTCCCAAGTCAACTAACAGTTGAGTGTCATAACTTGAACCATATCTAATCACTGGGACCACATTCAACTCCAATTCAGAGGACTAGTATCCTTTCTTTCTTTCTCTCTCTCTTTCTTTTCTATCTCTTCCTTCCTTCCTTCCTCTCCCTCCCTCCGCTCCTCTCTTTCTTTTTGCCAATCCTGGGGCTTGAACTCAGGGCCTGGGCCTTGAGCTTCTTTTGTTCAAGGCTAGCACTCTACCACTTGAGCCACAGCGCCCTTTCCAGCTTTTTCTGTTTATGTGGTAGTGAGGAATTGAAACAAAGGGCTTCATGCATGCTAGGCAAGCACTCTACCACTAAGCCACATTCCCAGCCCAGGACTAGTATATTCTGGTCTAACATAGTACAGTAACAATGGTTGCCACCCAATCCAAAACCAATGAAAGACAGACATTTCCTTTATCCAGAAGTGGGGTACCTTTCCTGGGAGTCAGAATCATATGAATCAGGCCGGGTTCAATACTTAAGAGTTTTTCACTCAACTCCGTCTCTAAGGCCCTCAGACAGCACTGAGGCCATGTGCAAGGGCCAGAGAAATCCTGTTTCCCTTGAGATGAGGGTATCTGGGACTAAGATGCCCAAATGTTTCACCATCAGCCTGACCTGAATTGACTGTTCCTCTGCCTCGAGGCTACCCTGGAAGAAAGCTGTCATCCCTGACCTCTCCGCACACCCCCCCCCGCCCCTGGTTCTAACCCCACCATTGTCCCTTACAGTCCATGGCCATGCCCACGGCGATGCACTTTTTGAAGCGGCACAGCTGGCACTGATTGCGAGTGATCTTGTCAATGACACAGCAGCTGTCATATTTGCAGGAATAGGTGGGATGGAGGTTCTTCTGGATTGTGCGGCGAAAGAAGCCCTGGGGTTGGAGGGGAGATGAAGCAGGTTCTAACTGTGATTTCTCCCTCCTGAATCAACCACACAGTTCACGGGGGAAGGGTGGGAGGGAGGTGAGATCAGCAAGGACACCTGGCACCCTCCTGAGCCTGCTGCCAAATGATCTCTAGGCTAGGCCAAAGGATCTGAGAAACACATGCCCTCAGCCCCCAGGTTGCTGAAGTAAAAGAAATAAGAATGGTGGCTGGGCCAGGCGCTGGTGGCTCATGCCTGTAATCCTAGCTATTCAGGAGGCTGAGATCTGAGGATCATGGTTCAAAGCCAGCCCAGGCAGGAAAGTCTGTGAGACTCTTATCTCTAATAAACCACTAGAAAACCGGAAGTAGCACCTTGGCTCAAGTGGTAGAGCACTTGCCTTGAGCTGAAGAACGCAGGGACGGCACCCAAGCCCAGAGTTCAAGCCCCACAACCGACCAAAAAAAAAAAAAAGAAAGAAAAAAAAAGAAAAAGAAGGGTGGTTGGCCATGGGTGGCTCAGGCCTATAATCCTAGCTATCAGGACACTGACATCTTAGACTAAGGTTCAAAGCCAGCCCGGGCAAGAAAATCCATGAGTCTCTAATAAACAACTCAGAAACAGCCAGTCATGGCACTGTGGCTCAAGTGGTGTAGTACTAGCCTTGAGCACAAAGAGGCTCAGGGCCCTGAGTTCAAGCTTGAGGACCAGTCCAAAAAAAAAAGAGGAAGAAAGAAAAGAAAGAATTGTGATTATAATGGGGCGCATTGGGCCTGGGGGTAGTATGAGGTGCTTCAAGGAATGAAGGCTTTGGAAATCTAATTATCTTATTTTCCATCATGCTAAATGACTTAGAAATCAGCACTGATCTCAAATCCAGGGCTTTCACTCAGGGTCTCATGCTCTCTCTTGGCTTTTTGCTCAATGATGGCTTTGTACCAGTTGAGCCATGCCTCTACTCCCAGCTTTTTGTTGTTGTTGTTGTTTGTTTATTGGAGATAAGAGTCTCTAAGTTTTGTCTGCCTAGGCTGACTTTGTTCCACAGTTCTCAAATCTCAGTCCTGAGACTGATTATGTATGTTGTCTATTGCCCATGTAGGTGGAATTCATGAAATAGGAGGATCAAAAGTCAAGAAAAGCATTGGGTATGAACTCTAGTAGCTTGCAAAGAAAATTTTCATTTCTTTTCTTTTTTCTTTTTATCAGTCGTGGGTTTTGAACTCTGGGCCTGGGCTCTGTCCCTGAGCTCTTCAGCTCAAGACAAGTGCTCTACCACTTGAGCCACAGCACCACTTCCAGTTTTCTGGTGGTTAATTGGAGATAAGTCTCATGGACTTTCCTGCCCAGGCTGGCTTTGAACCATGATCCTCAGATCTCAGCCTCCTGAATAGCTAGGATTTCAGGCGTGAGCCACTGGCACCTGATCTTTGCTTTAAAGGAAAAAATGTCAAGAATCAAGATGGCAGCATCATGAAGAGCAAACATTTGTTGAATGCATACTACTGTGCTTGGCACTCTTTCTCTCATGCATCATTATATTTAACCCTAATGACAATCCCAGGAGGTAGAAACTGTTACTGTGTCTATTTTGCAGACTAGGAAATGGAAGTTTGGAGAACTTAATACAATTTTCCCCCAGTCAGCTGACTAAATGGGCATCAGAGCCAGAGGTAGTCCTCAAGTAAAAGACACCAGGGCCTGTACTCTCAGATTTTTGGGGTGTATTAAAATCACCTAGCACACCTACTCAAGATACAGACACCTGGGCCCATTCCAGCCCTACTAATTCAAACTATCTAGGGTTGGAGCCAAGATTTTCAGCCTCTTGAGTAGCTAGGATTACAGGTGTGAGCCACTGTTTCTTGAAGTTTATATTTTCAGGAGACAGTGAGACCAGAAAAACTTTGTAGACTGAAACTGAAAACAAAACTGAATTAAGCCTCTCCAAGTCCTTGTCCTCTCTATCCAGGGAAAACTGGTTACCTTCTTCTGAGCCAGCACAGCACCATACTTATCAAGTGCTTGTGTACCTTGCATTGTTTTAAGCAGTTGTGTTAATTATCTCATTTACTTCTCTGAACAATCCTTAGGAAACAGGTACTATAATTATCCCTAGTTTATAGAGAAAGAAACAGAGGCTCAGAGAGGTTAGGCAATTTTCTGACAAGTGGCAGAACAGAGATGAGGAATGGGTGAATGAATGGAGAAGAGAAGAAAAATGATGGAACAGGTGGGTTTTTGGTTTCATGTTGTATGTTGGTGTTTTTGTTTTTGTCGGTTGCAGGGCCTGAACTCAGGGCCTGGGCGCTGTCCCTCAGCTCTTCGGCTCAAGGCTAGCTCTCTACCACTTGAGCCACAGCGCCACTTCTGGCTTTTTCTGCTTATGTGGTGCTGAGGAATGGAACCCAGGGCCTCATGCATGCGAGGCAAGCACTCTACGACTGAGTAACCTTCCCAGTATCAGTAGGAGAGCTCAAACTCAGGGCCTGGGTGCTGCTTCTTTCTTTTTTCACTGAAGTCTGGCTGAGTGCTCTACCACTGGAGCCACAGTTCTACTTTTGGCTTTTTTTGGTGGTTAATTGAAGATAAGTGTCTCATAGACTTTTTGTGCTTGGGCTGGCTTTGAACCTTGATCCTCAGATCTTAGCCTTCTGAGTAGCTAGGATGACAGGAATGAGCTACTAGCTCCTGGATTAGGTTACATATTTATAGTTTGTCTGTCATGCCAGATGCCAAGGGACTCAAAGGGAGTGAGAAGGGGACGGGAGGTGGTGGAGGGGAGGGGAAGGCTGGTCCATACCTTGCAGCCCTCACAAGTGATACAGCGGTAGTGATAACCGGTTGCCTTGTCTCCACACACGACACACTGCTCGTCTTTGTCCAGGTAACTAGGGATATACCCTGAGAGGGAGGGAGGAAAGGGTGGAGACGGTGGGTATGGCGAGGAGCCCAGCAGAGAGGCTCCTATACTTTCCCCAACCCCAATTTTTCCTTTCTGGCCCATTTCCTAGCCCAGTCTTGCTGAAGGGGACTTTGTTCCAGGTAGAAAGTTAGGATCCTAGAGACACATTGGTGGTAATCTTGTCCATCTAATATAACAAATCTCAGTGGGGTTTTGCCCCCCCCACCATTGGTTTTTCTGAGGCAAGAGTCTCTCTATGTAGCCTACACTGGCCTTGAACTCCCAAAATCCTCCCGCCTTAGCCTCTTAAATGCTGGGATTACAGGCATGTACCACCATACTCAGTAAATCTGTACTTTTGACTACCTACCCAGAATTTCTTTTTTTTTTTTCTTCGTTTTTCTTCCTTCCCCTCTCTAAGTTGGGTTCTTACTATGTTGCTCAGGCTAGCCTTAATTACACTCTTTTTTTTTTTTTGCCGGTCATGGGGCCTGAACTCTGGGTCTGGGTGCTGTCCCTCAGCTCTTCAGCTCAAGGCTAGCACTCGGTACCACTGGAGCCACAGCACCACTTCCGGCTTTTTCTGTTTATTTGGTGCTGAGGAATCGAACCCAGGGCCTCATGCTTGCTAGGCATGCACTCTACCGCTGAGCCACCCTCCCAGCCCCTTAATTACACTCTTGTATTAAAATGATCTTTCTGAACAGCCTCTTCCTGAGTAGCTGGGACTACTTAGTGTTTTTACTTATTTATTGTTTCTTGCTTTGTCTAAAGGGCAGAGGATGGCAAAGAGAAGAACAAGCAGTCCATCTGGGGAGCATCCATACCCTCAGTTCCTCAGCACAGGCCCTGATTCTGGTGGGGCCTTAGGTGAGGAGGTAATTCATGAGAGAACAAAAGAGGCATTTCCTGATCTAATCCCTCCACAAAGACTACTCTCATCCCCAGGCTCTCCCTCGGAGCACAAGAGGTACCAATCAGAGCTCAGAGGAGACCCAGGATGGTCTGTGGGCTTAGAGGTAGGGAGAAGGAACACACACATGGCTAGACTCACCTGACATGCTGGTTTTCAGGGAACATTGGCCGTTCTTTCTTTTTCGCTTTCCATCTGGTGACCTGGCACTGGATAGGGGCAAAGTGGGTAGGATCACACAGCAAGTCTTTGGATAATCCCTTCTCACCTAAGGGGCTTCTACATTCCCCTAGGTTCATCTCCCCCCATCTTTATGTCCTTATTCCACCTGCCACCCTCCAACTAAGAAAGCTTAGAAGAGTCTGGCTATCTGGTAGCTGCAGGGAAGAGATAAGGGGCTTGACTAGGGGCAACAGCATGTTCTAGGGCCTCAACACATACACATACATTGTTCTAAGGCTCCAACATCTATAACACAAATACATACATATCCTTTGACATATACAGATATACCTACACATACACATAAGCATATAACACCTCACACCTTAAGCACCCATAATCCATGGTACATCCATATATTTAAGCCTTCAACAGACGACAAATAGGCTGGAAGAATCCTCAGAATATTCTTAAAAGCTATGTAACCTTTAAAACACCACACATACACACACACACACACACACAACACACGCTCAACATGACACCCACGCATAAGAATAACTATGCAGCCTTCCGTTTCAACCCAAGTATGGTAATAAGCCCTAAATTTGCATATGTATGCAACTTTCAGGGCATTCTCAAATATGTTTTATGACCTCTAGGATATTCCCTGTGCATTCTATAATACTCTGGACAGGCACCTAATGACACCCCTTCCTCCTACTAGTGTGAGCATGTTACCTGATTTCTAGGACAAGCTAAATAACCCACAGTAACAGACAACACTAGCAGCATCCTCCATTTAGCAAAGCAGCAAATGCAACCGCCACTCCAGCCTGGTGACACCATGCTCTAGCATTGGAGCCAGAACAAGAATCCTGAACCCCTCTATGCAAGGTATTCTTAGCCACCCTCAGACACTGCACATGTATGTTACCAGGTTCTCCACATACATGTTACATAACCTCAGCACACGCAGGTTACATAAGCCCTCTTCACACATGCAGGGATTGTATAACCTTCCACACCACACCCATTTTGCGCGTGGCATGTTGCAGGGCCCCTCCTCCTGGAGCCAGATGCAGCTCCCAACATACTGACACAGTGACCTTGGCCAGGGTCACAGTCACAGAAGGCCCTGTGCTCCACTCCCCCTGGGAATTTGCCCGTCTGGTTCGTACCAGGCTGGAGGGTCAGACCTCCTGCTTGCCTTCTAGAGGGGTGAGTTGGGGAGAACTTGGGCTATCTAGGCTCCAGTGAAGCTGGCATCTTAGCCATGACCAGATTTGAATCCTCTGGGTGCAGTCCCACGGACAACCACAAGGTGGCACATGGATAGGGGGAGGGGAAGCGTTGGGGGAGGGGGCAACAGTCCTAGGGGACTGGGAACCTGCATTCCCGCCCTTTGTTGAAGCCTTAAGGGTAGTCTTTCTCAGAGCCACAGAAGTCTCAGCAGGGAAGTACAAAAAAGATACAAGTGACAGCTATACCAGGGTGGCAGGCTGGATTGTCCTTCTCATAGTCTCCTGAGGTCTAAAGCTTTGGGGGAAGGGGCTTATCCAGTGCCCTTACCTATACAATTAGGAGCCCCATCTACTTTCTCTATGCTTCCCTCAATACACCCCAGGGAACCAGTCTTGGGCCCCAGGGTTTTGCCTGGCCAAGCCTCTGGCCTCCTGGCTCAGGATCTGATCTCCTAGGCAACAGCCAGCCACACTGCTCCCCAGAGTACCCCCACCCCCACTCCTTCTCTGGCCATAGGCACAGGCTGTACCCAGCTCCCGGGATACTATGCCAACTGGGACAGAGCTCTGTGCCACTTGGAGCTGATGGGAGAGGCAAAGACCCTCTGGACTGCTAGAGGGCAAGGCAGAGCAGAGCATAGGTAACATCCCGACTTGTGTGTGCAGGACTGACGCCTCACCCACGTGTAAGCAAAACCTTCATGGCTGGTATGCACTTCCACTTCCTGGGAGGAGCCCCAGGCCAGTGCCCGCCCTTGACCAAGAACAAGGAAGAGCTTATAGGACTTCCAGTCGATTCCAAATATAAGTATGGGTTATGACAAATAGTTATTAGTGCCAGTGTACTGAAATGTCATGTTACATGCACCAAGGCTTGTGGTCAATGCACTTGTTTGTGGTCAGAGGGTAAAAGGGCTGGTAGGGAGAGGAAAAAAATGGTAAGGTCCCTTGGATCACACATGCTGAGGAGAGGATGGCAATGACAAAGGGGGACAATCAGGGCCCTCAGAATTGTCCAGCACCGTCAAGGAAGTGGCTACATGCCTGCTGCCTGTAATTACTCTGTTCCGTATCACTTCTTCCTTCAAAATGGGCATCTTTCAATCCAAGTGCCTAATTCTCTGTGACATCTGAACATGTCATCTTCTGGATCAAGGTAGGCAGCAGGCCTGCTGGCCTCCCATCCATCTCCAGAGGTGTTTAAAAGGCAGTACTTAAAAGGGAATTCAGTTCTTTAGCCCAAGCAGGCACCCTTGCTGTTAGGAGTTGACATTACCAGCTTGCCAGATTGATTACCTGTTCTCCTCTGGGTCTGACCCACACTCCACCTTGCTTGGCTTCTGTTCCATTCACTTCAATTCCATCCAGGATGCCCTCCAGCACGCCAAGAGACTGGGGTGGGCACACTGGCCCCCCCGGCACACCCACAGGCCACCCCCCCACTACCCAGGTCCTAGGGCACAGCACCCATGGTACCCCCCTCAGCACTTGGCCTTTCACACCATGCCCTGCTCCCCAAGGGGGGGCGGGCAGGTGGTGGGAGGGGCCAGGGAGTGGCAGGTAGGAGAGCTGGGGGGCAGGCTGGATCTGCTTGGGAGGTCCTGGGTTAGGTGGTTGGGAGGTAACTTCGAAGTCTTGTCCTGTTCAGAGATCCCTGTAGAGACAAGAGAGAGGCGGGGTAAGAAGGGTAGGTGTAGGCTAGGGCTATTAAAGGGGCTGGGAAATGTGGCTTAGTGGTAGAGTGCTTGCCTAGCATGCTTGAAGCCCTGGGTTTGATTCCTCAGTACCATATAAACAGAAAAAACCAGAAGTGGCGTTATGGCTCTAGTGGTAGAGTGCTAGCTTTGAGCAAAAGAAGTTCAGGGACAGTGCCCAGGCCCTGAGTTCAAGCCTCAGGACTGGCCAAAAAGAAAAAAGTTAAGAAGGGTGGGTCCAATTCCTTTGGTAGCAACATTTGGGGTTTCCAGGGCCCATAACAAGATGGCATGGGGGACAGGCACAGGAGAGGGCCATAATAACTTTATGTTGCAGGTTAAGACTGGAATGCCACATCCCATGCCCCAGACAGGGGAAGGATGGAGGGAAAGAATGAGGTCATCCATGTGGCAGGTAACAAGTCTCAATACTAGCATTCAAACAAATGCCTAGCTCTTAATGAGTTGTCTATTAAACATTAGCTATTGTTACCACCCTCTAACCAAGTTTCCCTTAGATTGCTCAGTAATATGGGGTTAATAGACAAGCAGTTCCCAGTACAGGCATGGGGTACCCACAAAGGCAGGGTGGGAAATTGCATGCAACGATTGTGAATGCCCACATTAGAGACACACTGAAAACAATGAGGATTGGCCTCCCGTGTGGCCAGCCCAGGATCAGCCCCACAACTTCTGTCTCTGAGAGTCCTGTGTTTCCTATACAAATCCCATTGTCCAGTTTGAGGATGAGATTTAGTTGGCTAGGCTAAACTACCAGTCACCAGAATAGCAAGAGAACAGGAAAGGAAACTAACAAGGTGACCAAATAGCTAAAACGTGCCTTCCACAGCGGGCAGCAGGACTTTGCAGGTGCAGAAACTGAGTCTCAGAAAGCTCGAAGTTCACACTCAAAGTTCACAAGGCCAGAATGGTTCAGGGATTACAACCTCATAGCCTGGTTCTTAGGCCAGCGTTGCGCTGTTACCTGGAGCCAAACAATGCCAGCTTGGGCCCATCATCCCTCTACATTCCACCTCCAGCCCAAGGCTGCAGACCCATGGGGTACTGTCTGCAGGCACACAGGCAGGTGCAGGCAGATGGGAGGGGGACAAAGGGTGCAGTTCCAAACACACAACCTTGATCACATGATTGCTGAACCAGAGATCTCACCCTGGGCCCCCTGGCCCCACCTCCAGGAACTGATAAGGAGCTTGGGTAAGGGGAGGGGGCTGAGATAAGGCAGGGCATTGGGCAGGGCCAGGCAGCAGGACAGGGCCTCTGCACCCAGGCAAGCCCCTGGGGTGGGGAATATGGGAGGAGCATAGAAAAACTGGCCCATACTGCCTGTGGCACCCCTCAGGCCTCAGCTGGGCACTGGGGTGGGGGTGGGGGCTGGATGGGAAACTGGTGGGGGGGAACAACGAGTGTGGGGCGCCTTAGTCCAGGGAGCCTTCGAGAAAGTAGGTCAAGTTTTTCTTGGCTTGTGGAGAAATTCCTGTTATAAATTTATAATGGCGTAGCCAGCCCTAAGGGGTGGAGGTGGGGAAAGAGAAGGAGTGGGTGGGGATGCCCAGGGCTGGGCACTGAGGCCCTCTGCTCTCAGCCAGGACAGAGGGACAGAGGGACAGGGGTCAGGGGCACTTAGGGGGTTGGGATGGACAATAGAAGCGATTCTGTTCCCCCTTCTATCTGTACCCAGCAAGACTTCCATTTGGTCTGTGTGTGTGTGTCTGAATGTCTCCCCCCGCCTCTGGGTCTGGGTGTCTCCCTGTCTCCCCCTAGTCTGTGCCTCGGTGCTTGGCACACCCTGGCTGCGGTGCTGCCCCCGCCTGTCTCCTGCCCGCCTGGCACACTGCCACCACTTGTTTACAGAAGCTGGAAAAATCCACTCGCCAGCCGGAGGCCCAAGTGCCCCCGGGGAGGGGAGGAGGCAGACCCAGGAGTGGGCATAGTGAAAGAGAGGGGGCAGTCCTAGGGAACAGGCCCTGGGGGCAGGCAAAAAGGCCCCGGGTGTGGAGGAATGGGTATTAGCAGCTGTAGGCCAGGCCTGGCAGGGAACCCCAGTGGCAGTCACTGGCATGGGCAGCTCCTGCCCCAGGCCATAGCTCTGGGGGAACTCCCCCCCCACTACTGCCACCACTTGCTACAGGGCAGACCTGGGGCAATGCCAACCTAAGCCACCCTGTTTATTTCCCCTTCCCAGCCTGGCCTTAACTCCAAATGTGTCTGGGCACTGCCAGGGGCTTGCACGTGCCCACTGGGGGAGGGGCAGGGTCTTTTCTGCCCCATCTCTCCACTGAGCTCAATGTGTCCTGGTGCCTGTCGGTGTAACCCAGACTACAGTTAGTCCCTGGCAATGGGCAGAGGACCAACATGCTGCCCTTGCTACCTAGGGCACTCTTGTCTGGCATCTAGCAAGAGACTAGAACCTCTGGAGACTTCTTGAAGCCTCTCCAGAGATGTACCTAGGCCTCTGAAGCAACACTGTCCAGGCAGAGGTCCCAGCATGCAGACAGGCACAAACCATGTGAGCTGTGTTAGCTGTGAGCAGAGAAAGGTCATCAGCCAAGGGGATAGAGGTAGGGATACCCACCCCGCAGGGCAGCCTGTCTCCCTTCCTCCAGGAGTCCAGCTTAATATTCTTAAGCTCCCTGGCACGTGCCTTGTAGTGGCAGAGGTTCAGCCCCAAAGAGGCAGAAGAGGGTAGAGTTCTGGGGCTCTGAAACTCTTCCAGACAGCAGGGCAGCAAGACCCACCTGTCGGCTGGCCTGGCCACCCACTCCCTGTTTGTCAGATAAGAACTGCCGGGTGGCAGTGTGGGCAAGGTGCCCGCCGAGGGGGAAGCATTTCATTAAGCTTAAGTGCTTCTGCAATGAGGGGTACCGGGATGAGAAGCCAATGCGGCATCCACAGGCACTAGGCCAAGTTCCCACTGCCGTCTGTCCCACACTGCAGTCCTGTGGATCCAAGGGACACTCCCCAAGGACTCCTGGGGCTGCCACTAGGGACTCTCTGTCCCCTCCCCCCCACAAAAAAAATCTGGCTTCAAACACTACACACAGACACATACAGACACACAGACACACAGACACACACACACACACACACACAGAGCTCTCCTTAGTATCTGTGCTTGGCTTTGGCCCCACCTTTCTGGGGCCTCTGAACTTTGTCCCTAGTGCGTTGAAGAAAACTCAGCCCTCCTTGTCAACCATAGAAAGAGGTACACTATACCATGGGGAGGAGGGCTGCGCAAAGGGGGGGAAGATGAGGAAGAAAAAGGCAAAGGGGTGGCAGAGGGAAAGCAGTATGTGTGTGTGAGATAGGAGGAGAAAGAACAAAGACAGGGCAGGGATGAGGGTAGAGCTGGGGATGTCAAGGAAGTAGGAGGAAAGGAAGAAAGGAGAGAATGGGAAGGGGGATGGGAGAAGAACGGGGGATGTGGAAGGAAGACTGAAAAAGGGGAGGAGAGACAGATAAAGGAGGGGAGACAAAGAGAGAAAGGTAACAAAGAAAGATGAGAGAGAGAGTGTGTGTGTGCATGTGTGCGTGTGCCTGTGTGTGTGTGTGCATGTGTGTGGTGGGGTGCTTCTGCCCTGCCTAAGTCCCACCCTTTGGAGGCTGGGGGAGGGGAAGAAGTAGGAATGGTTACCACGGTGACAGCTGGTTCTTGGTGGCCTGGCATGTGGGCTATTAATAGTGCTGTGGGTAGGTTCACACCTCTCTCTCCCCTTCCCCTCTGCCTGCTGCTAGGGTGGGGGGCGATCCCTTCCCCACCAACAACCTACTCCCAATCACACAGCATCGATATCCTGACTCCCTACCACAGTACCAACCACGAAGAGCAAAATGTTAAAGGAGACCAGGCAGCCGCTAGAGCCCAAACACACATGGGCATGCACAGGCAAACAGGCATCTGTGTGTAGACGTGCCCAGTGCCAACATGAGCCCGTGAGCAGCCACCAACCCACCAGTCCCCCTTGCAAGCCTGTGGCCAGAAGAGGATCTGACACAGTAACACATGCCCCATGCCGAGGGGTGGATGCCTCCTCAGGGCTGGGACCGACTCGACTCTTCCTTTGCCCAGAACGCCCCTCCCCAGCTCCCAGTTCTATTCTCAGGTATGGATTGGGCAGGGCTGCCCCACCCAACTCTCTGCTATCCTGTGCCAGGAAAGAGAGAGTGAAGGCGGGAAGGCAAGGCACTACTTGGCAGGTGTGATGTGGCAGAGACTTGGGCACAGCTTGGCAGGCATGGGGGTGGAGTGGGGAGGGAGGCAGTATCCCTTGGTAAGGCTCTTGCTGGGGTCCCAGAAGGTGGGATTCAGGAGTCCAGAAGTCAGATCCTCGAGTTAACTGGAGGCTAGGGAATGAGAGAGGGGGGTGGAGGATGGGCCTAAGGGGGAGACTGGTTACTTAAACAAAGGCTCCTCCTTGCACCCCCTCCCAAAGAATCTAACAGGAAACTCTCCCCTGCAGGTCAGAGACAGAAAGACATAAACAGCAGCCCTGGCTTGGGCCAGATGCCCAGTACTAAGATCAAAGACTAGCTTCCCACCCCACTCCCCTATAACCTCACTCACCTGCTTCTAGTCTAGGCCTCTCTAGTCTAGGCCAGCTCCATCAGGTGGGCACTTAGGATTTAGGTCTGGAGGGGGGTGTCCCTTCCCCTGGTCATGTCCAGACTCTACACCCACTGATGGAGAGCGATGCCTATACCTATGCTCCAGAGCTCAGCTCTTCTGCCCCAATTCCCTTCAGGAATGGAGATGGGAGTTACAAGGAGCCCAGAGGGCAGCATTAGCAGCACCCCTAAGCTGGGCAAGGCACATTCTCCCCACCCTCCCCCCAGCAGCCAGTGGGTAATTGGAGCTGGGAGCTGGGAGCTGGGGCAGCTGAATGCTGGAGGCTTGAAAGTCACGGGGCCAAGGCGCTTGCTGCAGATGGCATCATGGGTACAA